TGTGGGATTTGATTAAATTTGGATCTGCTGAAATTCACCCAGACAGCGCTGTCCTAGGCTTGGACATCGCTGTTCTAGGCTTGCGTTTTGAAAATTGTGAAGCAACGGTCATGCCAACAGCGATGTCCAATACTCCTACATCGCTGTTTTGGCTGTTGACTTCCAAACAAGGAAAGTTTTAGCCTTAAATTCCTTCCAACGGTCAGGACCTTACATCGCTGTTCAATACTTGAACATCACTGTTTAGGTCTGACTTTGAAGGTGGAGTTTTGGCCTGACTGCGCTGTTGCTGGGTCAACATCGCTGTCCTGAAACTTTCTGCCAATGCACTATATTTTTGGCTTAGGTTGGACAGCGCTGTAGGGAGGCCTACATCGCTGTTCCAGAAGTTTGTGGAAATCCAACCTTGGCTCAACAGCGATGTCTAACATCCAACATCGCTGTTGGAAGACTTAACGCCAAACTATGGTTTTCAGCTACCCAATCCAGAATGTGCTGTTGGTTACACCAACATCACTGTTGGGCTGGTTTAGCCAGACCCATGGTTGGTTTAGTCACCCTTAGCCGATGTCAAAAATGTGAGTTCTCCAAAATAAAAACCAAGTATTGAAAATGTTTGTTTAATGCATTTTCCTAAGAAATCAATTAAAACATTTTGAAAACCACGTCATTTAGTTGAAAACCACGGCTAGCCAAGTTTACGCCGTTTTCGCAAGGTTTTCACTAAGCGACCAAAACGAAAGGTGGTTTTTTTTGAAGCGTTTTTGTTGGAGAACTATTTAAATATGCCCAGAAGTAAAAACTAATCATTAAAAGTTGAAAACCACTTGGTTGGTTCGAACACCAAAAACCAACGCCGATAACCGAAAGCCGGTTTCCGAAGACCGAACGCCGGATGGCTTGGTTTTTGGTTTGGGCGAACTCCAAGTGTTTTCAGGCAGGTTTAAGACTTAAGAAAATCATTTTGAATATGCAAAAAATATTTTGATGAAATGAGCCTAGAGAGCCATGTTTTGAAGGTTTGTGCCGGTCTTGATCACATTAAAACCGACTCAATATAATTCTAAGTCTTCGTTCTTGATTCTTGGTTCTTGGTTCTCAGTTCATCATGCCATGTTCCNCCATAGAGCTTTAATTCTTCAACACTACTTTGCTCAATTGTGTGAGCTTTCATTCTTGTGTTGTAAACTCAATCTCATTTGAGTGTTGTTCTTAAGACTTGTGTGACTCAAGTCTTGTTGTTGTAAGAAAGTGAGGCTTGTGTGATTCAAGTTCTCAAGTTGTACCGGTTTTTCAAGCACCCGTTGAAGCTTGAAGATTATTAGGACTTTCGAGAGAGTCTCTCGGAGGATTAGACTAGCCACGAGGTGGTGAACCACTATAAATCTCGGTGTTCTTCTTTCCATTACTCTCTTTATATATTCCTGCAATTTTATTATTTCACACACGCGAAAAACGCACATTCTTGAAAACAACTCTATTCACCCCCCCCCTCTAGAGTTGCACATTTGTCTAACAGGATCGATCACTCTGAGTGGATCGATCACTACCAATACTTGTATATAGACTGTGATTCCCCTCTCCCTCTCATTTTTTCATCATCTCTCTTTGCTTTGCGATCGGAACATCTTCATGTAACACCTTAATTCGTCCAGGTCTGCAGCCCCATTTGGACTAAAGTATTTAACTTGGTAATCGTAAAATTTAAAACTTTTCAAACACACTTTATTAATCTCAATAATATTTTTCATAACATATACAGTACGTAGTATTCAACAATATTGCGGAAGCGAATTTAATTTTGACATATCATAAATCATTTCAAACTTGTCACATCCATCCCGACAATCTCGCCCCATCTGCTGCCAGGATCACAGTGTTCCTTCTGTTGTACCTGCGTGTAGCAAATAAAACACACTACACGCTCAGCGGTAAAGCTGAGTAAGCATATCTAATGCGTCGAACATCCATATAAACTGAATCTAAATTCATAATCAAATCATTTGATATCATGCACACAATGTTCATTTAAGACATTCACAGTTTTAGTATTGTTCAGTTCATATCAACACATTTTATTCAATTCAGATACTATTTCAATAGTGCTCTTAAATTATTCTTAATCTAAGCCCAGATCATAACAATGCTCTTAGCTATTCTTAGTCTAAAGCCAAATCATAATTTCCATAATCACATTCTTAAAAGGCAATTATTAATCAGACACTTAAACTATCATTAGTTTAAGGCAAATGATTTCGGACACTTAACTGTAGTCAGTTAAGGCAACAACAATATAGCGATTGGTCAACAATGGATCAGGCATTCCCAACGAGTAATCCTCTAGTTTGGTCTACGAATCCCGTTTATGAATTTATATCTAATTCATCGACTATTCATGTTTTCATAAGTTCATTCTAAGATCTATTCTAGAGGTCTTCTAGATAGTCTTAACATTAATTAGCTAATAGGTATATCTTAAAGTTCTTCTAGATATCCTTAACAACATTTTTCATCAATTCATACTCTTAGTTCAACAATTATTTCATCCAGAATATTCATCATCATTAATCCATAATATTCATAAAAATGAACAATCAATCAATCAATCATCATAATAACTAATATCAATCAGCGGCCTAGCATCAAGTGTTAACACCCTAGCTTACCGTCATGCATCACATAAGATCCCTTTTAGTTGTTAAAATACCATCTTTATTCCAAGAAATCATCCTTTTATTAATCATAATGGTTTGGTATCAAAATATAGGATTCCATAACTCAAAAATCATATTTTCTAAATAACAATTGATTAATATATGATAGGAAATTCAATTATTAGCTATTAGCTTCATTTTCTTCAATAGTGTAGGGTGACNAACACCCTAGCTTACCGTCATGCATCACATAAGATCCCTTTTAGTTGTTAAAATACCATCTTTATTCCAAGAAATCATCCTTTTATTAATCATAATGGTTTGGTATCAAAATATAGGATTCCATAACTCAAAAATCATATTTTCTAAATAACAATTGATTAATATATGATAGGAAATTCAATTATTAGCTATTAGCTTCATTTTCTTCAATAGTGTAGGGTGACAGTCTATTGTCACTTCTGATAATCTACTGTCTGATGTTCAGAATGGGCTGATAATCGATTATCACACTCTGATAATCGATTATCAAACTTCAGAGAGGGCTGACAGTCGATTATCACATTCTGATAATCGACTGTTGCTCAGCTTTGTTACAAAAATCTGCAGAACGATGAATAATCGATTTTCAAGTTGATAATCGATTATCCACCGTCTTCTACCTCGAGCCAACTTGCGGAAATGTCACTTTTACTCACCAAACTTCAATTAAAGTATATAAAAGTGTTCTCCAAGGTTCATAGATCATTTTGGCATCATTAATTCAGAGTTTTAACATCAAAATCATGGTTTATGATTCTTAGTTCTTCAAACATGTCAAACACAAAACTCAACCAAATGAACGTTTATGAACGTAAAATCGATCTATATGAACATTCTAGTCACTAGATATATCTACGGGCTTACCTCGAAGCTTAATGGAGGTTTTGGAAATTTTCCGGCGAAACTTCCGGCGAGTATTTCTCCCAACTCCAGCGACTTCACACCAAATTGACAGCACCACAACACTCCTCACACTTTCATGAACACTTAGGAAGAAGAATGAAGAAGAATGGTGAAGAAATGAAAAGATTGGGTTCTCTTATATAATGAGAAGGAGAGAAGAAGAAAACAACTATGGTGACTCCACAATTCTGCGATCGGCGTAGTGGGGAAGGAGGCGCCGTCTAAACAGTTCCCTGATTGGGACTTATTTTTGTTCCAGTCGGGGTACACTTTTTTGTTCCAACTTTCTCCAAATTGAAATCTGTTTGCACCGTTGCGATCAGACAATCGAGCTCTATCCAACGATATACTTTTCATAATTATTTGTAATACTTTTTCCGACATCATATTTTTGGGTGGTTGACTTTGACAGAGTCAAAATTGATTTGTTTGACCTTTACTATAAAAGGTGTTATATTCAATTCATATTATTTACTCTCATGATTTTTTTCAATAAACCATTTCAAAGTAAACAATTTCTTCATTTATTCTTAGTTTGGGTCTGTACTCAGGTTCCCAACCAAGATTACCCAATTAGTCACCATATTGGATTTATCTTTTTGAGACTTATCCTGATTTGTGATATGGGATATCAAAACATATTTTTATCGGCCCAAAGCCCATAAAAATTTATTTTAATCAAAACAAATTTGATTTATTTTAATAATTATCTATTAATAATTCTAAGGTATGTTTTGGGGCGTTACATTTCTACCCCCCTTAAAAGAATTTCGTCCTCTTGTTGTATTCATATCTAATCATGATTGCATCATATCCACATGGTTACGTCTCATAGATACGCATTCTCAAATCGTTGATGTCACCAAACTCGCTCAATCTTTGAGAGATTAACAATTTTCGATTAAGCAAGGTCTTCACTGATCCTTTGGTATTAATAACAAAAGTTCCTTCGTAGTGTATAGTATTGCATACTTGACATATACATAACTTCATTCAATCACGAGTCTCGTTTGCACGTCATTGCTCAACGGAATTTCTTTTCTTGATTGAAAAGTTCTTCAATATCCTTCATAGAAGGTTCACGATAGGCATACTTGAAAACTTGAAAGGTATATCAATTCATACGTCGTAAGCTTTCAAGTTACTTAAATGGTCGTTGTCTTAAGGCATTAGCCATTTTCACTTTTCGTCTCAGATTTGAACGTATTTCAGGACAGCGAATCTAACTGTTCATGAGTCTCAATATGTCATATCATAAGCAGACTATAGCATTAACGAGCACGTCCTCATCTGTAGGTAAATCAAATCCATCTTTGCTGTACAAATTTTGACGGAGGATAACTACCCTTTTTCAAAGGTCAGGTTTTCAGAGCCTATATATATCACGATTGTGGCCAGAGCATTTCACATTCTCACATCATGGAAGGAACATCTCGAACTTTTCCTTACACCATAAAATTCGTTGGTCTACTTGGTAGTCATTCTCTTGGTAGAAATCCAAAGTTCATGGCTACGGCGGTGGATTTAGGAAGGGAATTGGTAAGGCGAAAAATTAGACTTACCTATGGAGGAGGCAACGTTGGCCTTCAAGGAGCTGTTGCTTCAACAATCTATACCAATGGTGGTATAGTTAGAGGCTTCATACCAGGGTACATAGCAGCACGACAGGTCTACGGACCTACGTATGGTGCAGAATACACAGTTTCAAGCAAATACTATAAGCATTTCGAGATGAATCATGTAGTGGAGGCCTTCATCGTACTTCCTAGAGGGATTGATACTATGGAAGGTTTGTTCACTTTGATCTCATGGGCATCTGAAGGGTTGCACAGTAAACCCATTGGTCTCTTGAATATTGATGGTTATTTTAATAACCTAATCAAATTTCTAGATGACGCAGTGAGGCAGAACTTCATGGCTTCTAGTCAGAGAAAACTTTTTATCTCTTCTTTCTTTATTCATGAGCTTTTAGACAAGCTAGCGTTTGCTAAAGCTTTTCCGGGTCCTGGGGCTAGTTATGACGAATTTGTAAATCCTGGGGCATTGGACTTAGACTTGCATTTGTAATATTACTTTATGTAATTTCAGTTGAATTTATGTTGGAATAATATTGTCCATGAACATTATGAGTTAACCATAAGTATTATTCTAAGCTGCATGGCCAGTGCAAGTCAGAAAAATATCTATTTTCAACATCAGAATGCATCATGTAAATATCAAACATTTTCTCAAGATGGGTCAAATGAAAGATTTCATTATACAATGGTTTCAACACACATAGGTTCAAGAAAATACGAATATTCTTGAGATTCAAATTGAAAGATAATTTCTGTTAGACAAATGTGCAACTCTAGAGGGGGGGGGGTGAATAGAGTTGTTTTCAAGAATGTGCGTTTTTCGCGTGTGTGAAATAATAAAATTGCAGGAATATATAAAGAGAGTAATGGAAAGAAGAACACCGAGATTTATAGTGGTTCACCACCTCGTGGCTAGTCCAGTCCTCCGAGAGACTCTCTCGAAAGTCCTAATAATCTTCAAGCTTCAACGGGTGCTTGAAAAACCGGTACAACTTGAGAACTTGAATCACACAAGCCTCACTTTCTTACAACAACAAGACTTGAGTCACACAAGTCTTAAGAACAACACTCAAATGAGATTGAGTTTACAACACAAGAATGAAAGCTCACACAATTGAGCAAAGTAGTGTTGAAGAATTAAAGCTCTATGGATGACAACTTCTTAAGCACTCAAAGAAAATATTTCTAACTCTCAAAAATAATATTTTGATGAGGAAGAT